TGAACCAACCTAGTCTGCCACCAAATTGGAGAATAGGGAAAATTGTGAATATGATCAGGAAGAAAAGTGGCATCCATGGCTTCTACATAAAGAGGTTGTCCCTTGTCAACATTTCAGGACCTTTGTACTGCGAGTTGAAGGCAAGAGTTCGAAGGACACAGGAGATCCCCGTCAAAGTAGAGTGGGTCATCACCACTCACCCCATAAGGTGCTTGCTAAAGCGTTGCTTTGTTTGTTTATTGCATTCCCTAAGCATCATGCACTGCATTGCTTGTAACATATATCATCGCACTTATTGCATTTATTTGCATCTTGTGTTATCTTGTATGATTTATCATTTTACGCTGGGCAGCGTTTAGGATCGTTGTCCCCCGGGGCTTTCTCAGGTTGCGTTGAGTGCGCCCTTGAGCGGTTGTTTTCGGACCTCTTCTCACGATTTCAGTGTGGTTAGAGTGTTCCATTCCTCACATGATTTTAGCGTGTTTGGAATTTATCTCAGGTTGCGTCGAGTGCACCCCTGAGCAGTTGTTTTCGGACCTCTTCTCACGATTTCAGCGTGATTAGAGTGTCTCTTTCCTCACAGTGCTTGGTTACAACAAAAGTGGACTTAAGTCCAATACAATTAAAGCCCTTGGCTTGTACAAAAATAAATATAGTAAATACACAAAAGAAGCTCTCGCTCCAAGTCCCCCCAAGCTAGTGCCTTGGCGGAGGCATATCATCAACACCTGAAATGTTTTTTCCACATAGCGTGACCCAAATCCCAGTAGAAATAATTTGACACAATATATGAATCTCAACGAAGTTATAGAATGAATGCATATGCCATGCTCGTGCCAAAAATATTTTACATCTCTTTCAAACCATGCAATGCCAGGTTATAAAACAATTCATAACATCCTTTCTCTTTCATTATAAACAATACTATGAATACAACACTATAAATCTCTAGGTACATGTCTACTAGCAGGCTATACAAAAACTACTCTTTGTTATTTTTACTAGTATTAACCGAAAGGCTCGATACATATCCTCGTGGTTTTTTGGTTTTTCACCAAGAACACACATGCCAACTTAACATTTGTAGCCACACCCCTTACCTAGATTCACCAAGTATTTACCTTTTTTCTCAAAATAGTATACATTTTCAATATTATAATATGCAACAATGCCCAATGCAAATGGATGAGAAAACAATTTCAATTCTCTTAGTCCTCATGCAATGTCTACAATAATCATAGCTATCCTTCACTGATAGCCCAAACATATATCTCTAAACAGATAATAAATTCCATAAGATAGACTTTCTAATTTTAAAAATGTGAGTGATAATACATATCCAACTCCACTATTCCCATTAATATCCACATTCTTTCCCAAAATTTTACAAAACCAACATTATCTTTCAATGTTTTCCAACACAAGTCAAAACTCGTAGTTTTGGAACAAAATCTCAGGTAGCATTTGGTAGAGTTTTAGAATTATGATTTGATAATAGAGTTATATTTTGAGTTTGTGAGTTTTGGAATTATGATTTGAGTGTGCAAAATTTGTTTGGTTATGAGTTTTGAAACGAGTTTTGAATTGAGTTTGAAATTTTTGACGTGACATATGATATTTGAATAAAAACCTTACAACTCATAATCAAACACACAACCCAAAATTCTATTCAAAGCTCAAACAAAAATTTAAAAAATTTTCGAAAATATTTTTTATTTAAAATATAAAAATAATAGGTGCCAAAAAAAAAAAACGAACTCTGTTCCGGTCAACCAGCCGGGGTCCGAGGGGTTGTCCGGAAGGATGACCGGGTAGACATGTTTTCAAATGTGGGTGTGGAATCAATTTTTGAAAGCTCTCACCAAACACCACACTCAAACTGTTTAGTGGAATTAACTTTACAAAGCTCTACCAAACAGAGCCGATGTTCTTTCAAAATCACTTCCGAGTGAAGAAGTCCATTATTTTCCACACATAACAATCATCAATCACATCCCCATAACCTTTCCCATGATTCCATTTAACAAAACCCCTCTTTTGATTTCAAAACCAAAACCCTTGATTTTTGTTCAAAATCCCCAAATCACAATATTATTTTAGAAATAACATATAACTAAGTTGAAACTCATAAGAAGGTGTGAAGAATCCCTACCTCAAGCTTAGAAAAGGAAGAAGGAAGAAAAAATCCAAAGGTCAATGGAGACAAAACAACAATTTGCTTCGATCAAAACAAAGCCCTCAGCAAGCTCTACACTTAATTTCAATAGAGCAAGGTAAAGAGATGCTTCTACATGAGTAGATATGAAGATCTTTGTGAAAAAAAAAAGTGAGTTTTAGAGAGAGGGAAGTGCTTGCTAAAAGAGAGAGATTCACGATTTTAGAGGAGAAGAGAGAAGATACAGTGAAGAAAATGGTAAGAAAGAACCCTATTTATAGTACTAGGGTATAGTGAAATAAAGTCTCAAAGTCAACTCAAAAGAATAAGTCAAAATCCCAAAAAGTAAAGCCTAAAACTTGGCTGAAATCTGGGAAAAAGAACACAAGGGTTGACCCTCGGACCAGAAGTGTCGACCCTCAAGAAGAAATAACAAAACACTAATATTGGTAGCAGACAGGGTGTCGACCCTCAGACCAGAGGTGTCGACGCCAAATTTCAGAAGCCAATACCAGTTTCAGCAGCAGGTAAGGGTCGACACCTCCCAAACTGGTGTCGACCCTAGAGGCCAACAACAAAAGGCAAGTGTCGATACCACCAAAGGCTGGTGTCAACCCTAAATTTCAGTAGCTATCCAAGAACATAGCAGCACGAAGGTGTAGACCCTTCCAAGCTGGTGTTGACCCTTGGAGTAGAACAAGACCAAGAAGAGAAGGTAGTGTTGACACCAACAAGGATGGTGTCGACCCTTGAAGCCAAAACCAAATATGAAGAGGAAGAACAACCGTCTCGGATATGGTTTTCCAAATTCAAAAGCAATAAATGGGTTGGGTCCAAATCAGGATCACTATACAAGTGGACTAAAACATATTTTAAAGGAGAAAAATACGGTGAAATAAACTCGAATGTGGCGGAGTCTTTCAATTCATGGATCCATCACACTTGGCATTTGCCTACTACGAAAATGATTAATTCAATTAGGTTGAAGATCATGCATTTGATGTCAAAAAGAAGAGAACAAGCTATGAAATGGAATACTTTTCTTTGTCCGGAGATGGATTCAATTAGTAAAGGCTCTTAAAAGTGGAAGAACTTGGTTGGTTAGTTGTTCAAGTGATCATGTTTTTGACATTCAATCCCAGCCATCAGTTACTGTTGACCTCTTGAATAGAACTTGCTCGTGTTATCAATGGGAATCAAATGACTTTCTTTGTACTCTGCGGCGACCGTTATCCAAAAGAGCGGAGGTGATTTGTATGCACATGTGGAACTATTTTATTACACTAGCAAGTTCAAAGCTTGCTATATTGAGTCCGTTTATCCAATACCCACTATTGAGAAACCTCTTGTAGCTATGGATGATCATTTTGTCCTTCCTCCAATTTGTAAGAAGCCACCTAATAGGTCAAGGAAGAATAGGATTCCATCTAGGGGTAAGAAAATAAGACGAGTACAGTGTGGTAGATGCGAGAAGTATGGTCATAATAGGAAGACTTGTAAGGAGACATTAACATGAAAGACATTATTGCTTTGTAATAAAAGTATGAAAATAACGCAGTTCTTCTGTAATAAATAGTCCATAGTAATAATAGTCTAGTCTTTTAGACTAGATTTGTAAGGAGACATTGCAATAAAAGAAATTTTTACTATGTTCTTAAATGGTTGCCTATCCAAGTTTCTGATTCACTTTATGGTTGAATTTGACATTTAAATATATATTTTTAATGTGGTTGAATAAGTGTCATGTAAAGGAACTTATAATGGAGTTTGTTCAATAGGTGTGAGGATTGAAGTAAAATTATAGTCTAAAAGGAAGTAAACATGAAATTAAAACTTTACTGCCTTTTAAAGTAAAATTTTGCTATCTTTTAGAGAAATGTACTTTGAAATGAAAGTAAAATTTTACTATGTTGTTGAATGGTTGTCTATGGTTGTGCTTAGCCTGTGCTTTCAGAGTAAAATTTTGCAATATTTCAAAGTAAACTTTTACTTTATTACAGAGTAAAATTTTACTTTTTTCAGAGTAAAACATTACCTTCATTCACATGAAAGTAAAACTTTACTACCTTTCAGAGTAAAATTTTACTATCTTTCAGAGAAATTTACTCTGAAATGAAAGTAAAATTTTACTATATTATTGAATGGTTGTCTATGGCTGTGCTGAGCATGTGGTTTTAGAGTAAAATTTTACTATCAGACAGTATGTGTGTTCCATTGAAAAACATTTCCAACCTGCATCAATATTTACTACAATACACAAACTCCTCTGATGCTCATTATGCAATCTTTATGCAAAACTAATCTGACAACACAACTACATATATTATCAAGATGCACAAGTATAACCTGTATCGTTGTATTCTATACATAACAACATTCATTTTTAGTCAAAAAAATATCCTGCTATAATAATGTATTAATTACCAAACCACAGTAAAATTTACTAGAACAATAGACATGGCATGTACTATCTATTACTCTTTTAGCATTCTTTCACTTACGATTACTTTTTCAACATTCTTTCATTTACAAAAAGCAAAATTACATACATCATTCATAAATATAAAAAAGTAGTTCCCAAAAGTTGTCCACATTATCCTTCTCGAGATCATTAAAAAATTGTTTCTCACTCCATTGGGTATTTTTCTTTTGAGGTTGAATTGATCCTCACCCCATGCTTTTAGATAATTATTCAAAAATTGATGCACTATTGATGCTCAGAATTGTTAAGTTCGTCCTCTTCCATAGACTTTGCAATAGGCTCATCTCTTATGATTTGACGCATGATATAACATATAATAATTCCACAATCAACACAGTTAATAAAAATCAAGATCTTGTTAGATTTACTCAAATTTGAAAACTACCAATTCAAGCATGTAGTAGTAACGTGAAATACTTATGATGTTGGGCATTGTTGTAGACTATCTTTCACCGAAACTAAGTTTGCAAACTTTCTTGTACCTCTCTTTCTTTTGTTGCTCAACTTGTTATCCACATATGTTATCTAACATCATTGCATAATTGTTTGGTCGCGATTAAATACAAGAATAAAACACAACAAAAATTTAATGTTAATATGATGCAAAGCACTTACAATCTGTTTTGCATCCTTAAGGTAAGGATCTTCTTTGTTGTCTATTGGCCTTAAAGAATTGTAATGCCCCCACTCATCATATTCAGTGTCCAATACAAGCAACGTCCAGTTATAGGGTTTCTCTTCCTTCTTGTTCCCATTGGAGTTCATGCAAAAGTGAAGGAATCTATATCCACTCAAATCTTGCTCAAGCACTTCTTCAATTAAATGATTTCTCAAATCTCCATAACCCCGTTTCACTACTAACTGCATTTAATCATATAAGAGTGTCATGTGTCAAGTTGTGTTGGTGACACACTGCATGAGTTGTCAATCTTTAGCAAACCAAATGGTAAAAATTAACTCTAAAGTACAATACAATGTTACATTAAACTATAGTAAAAGTTTATCAATTCAAACTAAACACAAATTGATGGCTTACCCAACAAAGGCTTGAGAAAAAGAATGGCTTATTCTTTTCTGGCTTCTTTGCTTGTTGCTCAATCTGAATAATTTCTACAAGACTGTCAATGACCTACAAAAACAAAAATAAATTAAATATATGTTAATAAAATGAACTATTTTTAGTTATTGAAGTGAACACTAGTCATTGAAAATTATATGGCCACTTACATTATTTGCAGTATCACCATCTCTTACAATTGCATCCACATCATGTAATGTAACATATACGCCATTTCCTGTGTTGGACCATATGATTGCATTAGTCATAAGGATAAAAAAAAAATGTTGATTAACAAATTGTACTTTAATAACAGTAAAAATTTGTTGTTTGAGAAAATTAAAATGGTCTTACTCTGTGATTTCCAAATTGTAAATTTTGCTCAGTAGACGCTTATCATTCTTAACAAGCAATTTGCATATTGCAGCCTTATCCAGATACAAAACCTTTCAACTAGTTTTAGTTGGATTAGAGGTAAGTTGTTAACACAAATCACTCCTTTTGATATAACTTCAATTGCTTGTTTTGTGGTCTTTTTTCTTTTCTTTTTTTTTCTCTACCTCTCTTGTCTCACATTCAAAATCAAACATCTCTTTTTTCTTCCTTGCCTTCATTTTGATTTTCTTAACCATAGATGTTTGCAATGGCTCTATGACTAGAGGTGTTTCTTTCAATGTAGCCTGAATCCCAAAGTTTTGCTCTTGTTGTACTCCTTTAGCATATGGCATTTCTTTAGAAGCAAAAGCTTGGGTAACCGCATGAACTACATTTTTATCAATCTGTCCAACAAACTCTTTATTTTTAAATTTGAGTACTTCAAACTCCTTTCGTAGTTTCTCCATTTCTTTCTCTGTGTTGCTCATCTTTTCCATCATTTCTTTTGTTTTCGCCTCTTGATCCTCCTGTATTTTTTGCATTGTTTGCCTTATTTTCTTTAGTTCTTCAACCGATGCCATATTCTTACCTTTCAGCCTCTTGTTTTCTTTTTGAAGTCGTTCTAATGTCCCAAGATCAATGAAGTCCTACAAAGTTGATCATCTCCTATAGCTTCAGCTACATAATCTTCATCTTCTTCAGTCTCCAAATTTTCCTCTATGTCCATTGCATCTTCTTCCTCATGATTACAAATGAGATTCATTTCTTCTTTGGAAATGGGGTTCAATTAATTGTGATTCACCTGCATTTGAAAATTAGAAAAAGAAAAGAAATTAACAATGAAGCAAACTTTAATCAATAGTAAAATTTTACTTTGTTTGAAAGTAAAAGTTACTCTAATTGTAAGTAAACTTTTACTGTGATTTTAAGTAAAATTTTACTCTATTCAAGAGTAACATTTTATTATGTAACTATAATTTTAAGCAAAATGAACCAATAAGACTAAGATTGAAAAGATGATACCTCTTCAAGCTTTAGTTTTTGCAATGACCTCATTATCAGCTTTTTCCTCAACTTTGATACTTCCTATCGAAGGAGCCTTGGACACAAATTTTTGCCTTTAGGTTGAATGAGGGTAGTGTGCTCGCATAACCAGTACTGTAAAATAAAAAACTGAAATTAGTAATTCTCTAAAGATAGATTGCGTAATATTTCAAGTAGTTCAATTTACTTACCAAAACAAGTACACATCCAGTTACATTTTCAAGACTTCCTAATGAAGCCTGGATTGAAGTAGTCAATGTGGATGCAACTGCAGTCGACCATGCATATGAATTCATTATTCCCAAATCTTCTACAAGGGCGACAAAAGCCCATCCAACTGTTAGACCGGTTGTTGGGAATAACAAAGTTGCCACAACAAATAAACACATTATTCGTGCAACATCCTCAACATCAACTATTGTTGTGCCTTCCATAGATTTCTTAATGCCTCTCTCAAAATCTTTACAGATATTCTTGACATATTATGAAACCTTCTCTGCACAAAAGGTGTTTCTTGTTTCTTCCCATATGAGACATCTACTTTTTTCATTCCCGATTTTATCCCAAAATCAAAGTAACATCACTGTCCCATATGTCACACGTTTTCTCCCCAAGCTTGAATCCCTTTGCATGAAAATCATAAGACTTGATCATAGCCATGACATTATCGCCAACACCACATCTTCTTTCTTCCAAAAAGATTTGAATAACATCCCAAAAGGTGTTCGCATTAGGTTTATCAATGAAACAACATTTGATCTATATTGTTTCACATAGTTCTCCCTCTCCCGTACTCCACGTACAAAATTCGACTTTAAAGGTTTTGTTCCTGAAGGCATTGGATTGCTTTCATGAGAGCCTTCACCCTCACTAAGGGAGCCCTTTCTCAGTCTCGTTAATGGAAGTACAAAATCATCATCAAATGCATTATACACATTACTCATGGATTTTTTACTACTTTTGCTACGTTTTTCAAGGAGTTTCTTCTTTTGTACAACCGTAGGTGGAGTTTCTTCTAAACCCTAAACCCTAAACCCTAACAACCATTTTAGAACACTAAAAAGTTTCCCTGTATCAATAGTGTAACATTTTACTTTAAACAACAAAGAAACAAAACAATATGCACTAAAGAAAATGAAGAATAATGCAAGAAAAAATAAAAATAAAAAATCAGTGCATGAAGGTAAAGCATAAAAATGCACAAACATTGCAATGAAACAGTAAAGTTTTATTGTGAAAGTAAAATTTTACTCTGATTGGAAGTAAAATTTTACTCCGAACAATACACCCTAGGAAATAAACAAAAAAAACACCTACAAAAATTCTAGAACCAATAATATTGACAAAGCTGCATCGCCATATTCAAGAAATGATTGTGAACAAACAGAGATAGTTCTAGCGATGTATAGAAATTACATATAAAGACCACAAAAACATATATTGACAACATCAGACTGAAAATTTGCTGCAAAGATCAAGAACATTGACCTAAATTCAGGAAAATACCAAGAAAACTGTGTCTCAATTGTGACTATACGCAACACAATTCTGAAATTAACATGTACAATTCACATTCAAACTGAAATCAGAGAAATGATGAAACTACAATCACATTCACATACATAAATAGATACATATATATACACGTATATTTATATACAAATTGATATACACATTTATATAATGAGCAAAGGCTAGAGAACACATATAGCAAAAAATCAAGAGGCATTGACGAAAGCATGAAAATGCACAAACATTGTAATGAAACAGTAAAGTTTTAAAGTAAAATGTTACTTTGTTTAGAAGTAAAACTTTACTCTCATTGAAAGTAAAATTTTACTCTGAACAATATGCACTAGAAAAAAATAAAAAAATAAAAAAAAAAAAAAAATCATATATTAACAATATCAGACTAAAAATTTGCTGCAAGATCAAGAACACTGGCCTAAATTCAAGAAAATTCCTAGAAAACCGAAAGCAGATACACGTATTACACATTTATGTAATGAGCAAAGGCTACAAAATACATACAGCAAGAAATCAGGAGGCATTGATGAATGCTCCTCAATATCGGTAGCACCGTCACTCACGATGGTGCTAGAATGAGGGTTTTGGATGCTACTGCGGTGCTGGAAGAAGGGTGTCGAATGCTCACGATGGTGGTGGAAGGAGGATTTTGGATGCCAAGGCAGTGGTGGAAGGAGGCTTTCGGATGCTAGGGTTTCCGAATGACGATTTTCAGAGCAAGGTTTTCAAGCGATGAAATAGATTGAGGGTAGACAAAAACGGTTTCATCATTTGATATTTGCCCATTTATATGGAAGGGTATTTCAGTCTTTTCATCATAATTTTTCATTTGAGGGACTTTTGGAACTATTATTTTATTTCATGGGCATCACACAAAAAAGGCCCAATGGAAGGGGCTTTTTACCAAAAATTCCTTAATTCTATAGACCACATCCGCTCTAATCTCCCAATTTGTTATAATAATTGATTATAAATAATGAAAATGTCCACTCTCAATCTTCATTTCTTCTCTACTTCCATTGTTACTGTTACTAAAATTACATTCCATGTACTCTATCTTATTTCTATTTATCCTAAATCCTTTAAACACAGTAAAATTTCTTTGTATTGAGAGATACTAAATTTCATTAATCTAAATGAGATTTTTCTCAAATCAATCAAATTTTCTTTTAGATACTATCGTTACAGTCATGATAGTATTGAAGTTGTTTCAACACTTAATTTTTTTAATTTTACTCTTTAATTAAAAATTTTACAGTGAAATTTCACTAACTTAACACTATGAATTTTCACTGAGTTGGAGAATTTCACTGTGCTGAAAAGTTGTCACCAGTGCTGTCACTATCATCAGCGACCAGTGGCAATCGGAGGTTACAGTGGCAATAAGATGTGGTGAAATAATAAAATAACATTAGGGGTAGTCTTGTCCAAAAATAAGTTAATATGCTCAAACTAACACGTATATTTTGCTTGTACTTAAGCTTAAGCTAATAGAAAATGTTTATTAAGGAGCTTTAAAAAACTAGATTAATAATAAATAAATCAATTAGTAATAAATAACTCTTAAATATTTTGTTAACGTAACACAAACAAATTAATATTGTTTCAAAATTTAATACTATAAACCAAAAATACACAAAATCTTCCTTTTTTATTTTTTCTTTTTTCTTCATACTTCGGATATTAAATCACTCATAATCATTTCTATTGTTTCAGTATAATTAATACAAAACATATTCCTTTTAATATAAATTCATCGTAGTAGTTCCTTAGGTTTGTCATCTGCTGTAGCCACACGTCTTCATAACCCTTTGTCAGAACTTCTTAATTGAAAAACTTGTCTTCACCTGGCATAAAACGCCATAAGTTTGAAATGCCTAGTAAATACACACACACCACATCCCATCCCTTTTTCCCGCGCCGAATACACAAGTACACATGAGCATAATATGAATAATTCCATAAAGATGAGAATTACTAGGTTAGAAGTTAGCACACTTCTAAAATCCTCCAAAGAGATTTTTCTTCCTAACCACAAGGATTGGATTCAGATTATTTGGTATTCTCCCTTTATTCTTTTGTAGACCTTACCACGGATACCTACGTTGGTTATCTACTAATTAGTGCCAAGCGAAGACCTGAAAAGGGACAGCAAAACAACGGGTCAACACCTGAAATGTCGCTTACTGGACCCAACCTTATCTCTCAACCAAAAAAAAAAAAAAACGACACCGCATAGAACCTTAATACAACCGATACGTAACAACCACTTGCGAAATTTAACTCAATAAGGGAACACATCCCACCATATTACATTTTCGAAATCATAAGTTCATCCATCTCATAAAAACATTACAAGTGAACGTAACCTGTTATCACCCCATTAGATTTCCCCTTTCTTTTGGTTCATTATGCTTTTCAATTAGAACAATGCATGATCATAATAATCACAATCCCAGCTAGACATGAAGTAACTTAAGCATGGTAAAATAAGTTCACAAAATCATCCTAGATGACATATCAAAACTTAAGCATTCAAGAGATATAACATAAAAGAGTTGAAACCCAATAAAGAGCACATTAATACAAATTTCCAGATTTTTCAGATTCGAACCGTTTTATAAATAAATATGAAAAAAATTACTTTCTGTGGTCCTAAGAACCTGGCCTCTTAAGAGTCTGTAGAGAAATGAGTCCAGTTTGATACCCAATTTACAAACATAGGATAGATCTTCTAGATTTTAAGATATTTCAAAAATATTAGGTTCTATCCAGAATTGTAAACTATTACGAGAAATGACTTTTTCTCTCAAACTACTCACTCACTTTGGTTCAAACAATTGTTAGATAAATATTAACATCCAAAGGAAACTTTTGGTATAAAAATGGACTCAAGGGAATTTTTTTGAATTTTTTTAAAATTGTAGAAAGAGTGCTTCTTTTTCTGGTTCTTTGTGTCAAAAACTTAGAAAAATTGTTTGGGTCACAAAAACACACCCTTAGGCTCTACCAAAATTCTCACACACTCTTCACATAACAAATAACACCCCTTTGAGTTCATGAATGTTTGATATGAAAATAAAATCAAGAAAGTGTTGGAGATAATTTCGGCAATAATTAATTAAAGCAAATAAAATAAATAAAGGAAACAACATAATTAAACCCTACAATACTTCTGCAGATGGTTTATGAACAAGTTTGTGATTGAGTCCAGTGTTTGAATACTATATCTTTAAGATAGAATTGCGTCATCTCCAATGGTGCTTGAGAACAATGGACATCATATCTCCAGGATACAACAATCACCACAAACGAAGAGAGCACACTCTTTGATTGTACAGAGAACCAAAATTATGTTTTGCACTCACAAAATCCATACTCACATAAATGAAGAATACAAGAAGAATGCTTTAACTTGAGGAATTTGTAATGAAGAAAATTGGAATGGGGGCTGCCTTTATATAGGCTTTGTTGGCACCTATTCAGTTTGAATAGAAAAGGCATGAAAAAGAAGATGACCCTTGGGTCACTCCCTTTTAGGATAAAGAGACACCATGAAAAGGTTGCACCCTTTCGTTCAAATGGAGTCTATTTCAATTCACCACTTCTAAATTTTCCAACAATCCCCATATGAATGAAATTGACGAAACGAGTAATGCAACAACATGCAGACTATGTAAGTATAAATCTGAAAATAACCTGCATAAGATAGGTAACTTTTGGCCTTGAACCTTCCCTTGTGAAAGATTATCAAATTTACTAGTTGATCAGTGAACATGATGTCTTGAACTGTTCTGCCATTAGTGTAAACCGAGACAATAGCCTATCACATAGTTTTATTTCCATACACAACTTGATTCTATCGGTTGTGTCCATTTTGGCCCTAAGCAATTCC